GAACCAAACTAAGCTCATCAGCACAGAGATTTGGAAAGGAACATTACAAGTGATGCTGCTCAACACAAAAGATGAAGGAGCAACACTGTTTCCTGTCAATCCAAGATGAATGCTGCTATTAACTGCATTGTTACCTGCTCTCAAATAGCACTACCATACTCATCCTTTCTTTTAGACAAAACCCAGTATGTGACCTCCTGCAGCACTAAAGGTGACCAAAGCCATATAAAACCCAGGAGCAGGGCAAAGCAGGCTAAAGCCTCATTTGGTGAGAATTACCACAAGACCATCACCTACCAATTAAAGCCACCGAGGTGCTAGAATAAACAACACTAAAGGATCTGACACACAGCTTCCAAACTGACTGGTGCCCCCCTGCAGCCACCAAACCCATTGATATCTGTGAATTCTGGTTTATTGGTTTGACACATAGCATTAGGTTCATCTAATAAAACAAATCCAGTTCCAGCATGCGAGCGCTTTCTTTTGTTTTGGTAAGGAAACTATTGAATCTTCTATTACAAAACAGTTGCACCTATAAACAGTTTGTATTGCTGTTGGACCATCATCCTCACACAGTAGATCTTTATGGTGTAATTAGCAGAGGAAGTGGATATCAAACCACTTCATTGCCACTCACCAGAACTGCCCCCCTTGCTTCCACTGATAAAGGTAAAGAAAGAGAACCCCCTATGTCCTATCTGTACATGTTTTAGTAATGGCAGGAATATGCTTACAGGTCTACCTGTGGCTTCTGAACATCAAACCTTGACTAAAGCCCAAGTTACACCGCCTTGCTTCATTAAGCCATAGCACTAAAAATGGATGGGTACCAGGCATACAGCTTCAGCTAACAGTTAAAGTCCCCTTGTTGTTCAAGGAAGAACAGAAAAGAAGAAACCAAAAATAAAGAACAAACTGTAACCTTACAAGTATAAGCCTTCACTAAGATCCAATTGTTCAGTCCTTTCCTAAGGTAAGTCTGGCCACTCAAATATTGAACCCACTAGTGTTAGCAAAGCTGAAAGTGAAAATAGCCTTTACATTAGACTGTAACTACACTGCAAATTTGCTGGAGAGTAAACAAGGACACATAAACATAACAGACTTACTGGAATATGTGGCAAAGTGATCGTAACGTCATCTCCTTTACCCACTTGGAGGTCCCCCTCGCAAGATGTATCAATTGATGCTGGCTTAAAATCATCTGAAGAGGAAAACAATCGTGATTACATTTCTCAGAGTCTTCAGAAGCGTCACCTCGCCCTGCAAAGAACCACCATACACTTAACTGTGATTATAGGGAATGCTAAAATACACACTGGTGTTCGCAGCAGGGATGGAATAACACAGTAGTACACTGTGTCTACACGTAGTGCCTCAGTCATATATATGATAGTACCACATTCTGAACTTCCCTTTTAAAATTGAAATAAGGGTTTAGACCTTGTGTTTGAAAACTAAAACTAGACTTCTCCAAACCCCAGGCTTTGAGTGGCACTTAGTTTTGCAGGCAAGTGTATAAGCGTACCACGCATCTCGAGAGTATCAACTTCCAAGAGCCTGGGCTCTGCATGGCTCTTGCCAATTCCAAACCTGAGGGCTCTGTGACAAACACTGCTTTAGTGACACCAATTCATTTAGCCTTACTGATATTTCCGGCTATTTAACAGCCTCCACAATAGCACCAAAAGTTCCACAAGGGTGGAGGCGACCTCAGATCTCACTTACTAGGAAAAAAAGAGGTGCTGATCTTAATTCAGCAGCCTCCATGTTAGTCCAAAGCCACTGTGGATAAAAAGCATGACTAAGGGGAGGCACTGCAGTGGCTTTAAACTAACACTCATTTTAAGTATTTTTGCTCTATTGTATAGAATGCTTTGTCTCCTCGTCAAGGGACTTCTGTTTAATATATTCATTTCACCTGAGAACATGTTAAGTTATAAGTATTTTCCCCTCATTATTCTGTTGTGCTAATGAGCCATTAAAAAAAAAAGAAAAAAGCTATCAGAACCTCTAATATTCTGACAGAGGATTTAGACGAAGTGAAATAGATTCAGATAGATATAGGTTGGTTTGTTTTGTTTGTTTTTAAAAGAATCCTCCATTCAATTATAGCATCCCTGGATATGAAGAGGTGCAATTATATTCACGATCAAGGCTTCAAATTACTGTGTTAGTTACAAAATTAATACCTCAGAACAAATTTAAAATATAATTCCACTACGAAAAATGCATTTGCAGAAAAAAACCCTAACCCTGGCTTGTAATAAATTCTCATTAAGACGACGTTAATGTTTAATTGAGTTTAACTTTGACAGCACAACAAGCAGAATCAGACACACTTGACTTAATCCTCATGCCTTAACTGCCAGATCAAATCATAGCCTTCGTTTTCATCTGAGCAATCTGTTTCTAGCTGTTGTTTCCCACCTACTTTATGTGCAAGCTTGCTAAATAAAACAAACCAGCTGCACAAGAGCTAGTGTCTTTGCCAAAACTGGATCAAGAGTTTCAACAGCACAGTCACTAACTTAAAAGGAATATCACTACCACACTTCTTTCTTAGGTATGGCAAAACAGAGTTACTTTAAACAAACACTCAACAAATTGTTTTCATTTTGTTAGCTTACTAGGGCCATATGCTTGGCTAATCTTGGTGTAGATAGAGTGCACATACTTCCCTCCAAATGTACCCACAGTCCTTTTTCCAAAAGTCAGTTGTTTTTAAGATGTGTTTTCCAGGGACAATCCAGTTTCTCAGTACAGTATTTCATAAACTTTACAGAAAGGAATGAAGTATTTTAAGAAGGCCCAAAAAAATTTAGCCTCCAAAATCCTCTCATTGTAATTTGCATGAAGAGGATTATGGGAACAATACAATGTTTGGATCCCAGACAAATAATACCAGAACAACAGTTAGGAAAAAAGAATTATAACCAGGCAATTAAGAGATTGCACTTCAAAGTCACAGATGGAAAACAGAGCACATGGAAAGATCCTTTGAAATAAAACTGTATTCTTCCAGTTGCAATCTGAAGAGCTTTGGTTTTGCAATACCTTAGGAAATTGATTACTGAAGCGCTTTTCATTCAAGAAATCCAGTATATTTCTACTTGGATATGGTCTAGGCTCAATTCACCCAGGATCAGGCACTTGGATGGCCAATATCACATCACTGACACTTCTTACTTGCAGTGGATGAAGATGGGCCACGAGATTGGGCCTAGAATTATGCATCTTAAACCAAAAATCCCACTGTTGTCTCTGTAAATTGCCCATTTTCATAGAAAACTGGTGAATTATAAGTTCAGTATTCTTTTCATTTACTGTTGATGGTTTACTAGTCATTTTAGTAAAAATTCCTGGTCTCATTTAGCTTAGATTTCTTGCCCACAGAATTCAAGTACAGAGAGGCAGTGAGTTCCTCTTCAAAACAGTCTTCCAATATGGAATTCCCTACACCTAAGGAAAAACAGAGCAGTTGGAATGACCTTAGCGGTATCTTAAAAAAAAAAAAGATATAAACTACTCCTTCAATTATAACCGCTTGAGACCCTACCTCAGGATTCATCTCGCATTAATTAGGCATTACTGTATGTGTCCGAGGCCTTTCTGCAGTTGGCTGGAGCCGGGACAGCCAGGACAGTGCTGCTGGACTACTGCTGGACACTGCCTTCATCACGAAAATACCCAGTTAGAAATCAAACTGCAGGTGCTCCGGCTGCCTCTCCAGGCCAGGGCCTGCGGTGGGACCTGTCCTGCCACTGCCACGAAGAGAATAAAACAAAATGGAAAAGCCACCCCTCGCGGAGCGGGGTCGGGGGAGATCCCTTTACGTTTCCAAGCGACTAATGAAAAACTTCCTAAAGCTGTTTGTCCGCCCTGGCCTGCCCCGCTCAAACCTCCTCCTTGCCAGCATCCACCCTCCCCTTCTCCCCGGCTTGGACACCTCCCTGGGGAAAACACTGGTGGTGGCAGTGGCGGGAAGATGGGCACGGAGAGAGCGGGGAAGGGTGGGAGATGGGCGCGCAATAGGCAGGAAGGAAAGGGGGAGATGGGCGATGAAGGGGCAGGAAGGACAGACGGGAGAAGGGCGATGAGCCGGGCAGGAGGGAAAGGGGGGAGAAGGGCGATGAGGGAGCAGGAGGGAAGGCGGGGAGGCGGGCGCTGAGAGGGGACGAAGCCCCGGGACGGCGGCGCGAAGCAAGGCATGAGGGGCGGCGGGGTGGGCGCGGTAGGAGGAGGAGAAGCGGCGCCGGGGCACGGGACGCAGGGAGCGGGAGGAGAGCGGGAGGAAGGGGCGGCCGCGGGGGTGGCGCTCACAGCGGATGGTGTGGAAGGAGGCCTTGGGCCGTCGCTCAAAGCTCTCGCCCAGCTGCAGCGGGTGCTCCTCCTTGTCCAGCAGCGAGTTCGCCGAGCCGTTCATGGCCCCGCTCCCGGCCCGGCCGGTCCCTTCCCGTCCCCTTCCCCTTGCCTGCCCTGCCCTCCGTGCGCTGCCGCCCGACGCGCTCCCGGAAATTCTTCGGTTTCCCTTCCGGGAAAGCTCTCCGGGGCTGGCGATGGGTGAGGCGAGGGGGGGCGCGGGGCCGAGCCGGGGCTACGCTGCCCGCGGAGGGTCCCGGGGAGGTGGGAGCGCGGCGCTCCCCGCCCCCGGCAGGGCTGGGCAGGGCAGGGCTGGGCAGGAGGGCTTTTCTTTTCCTTTCCCTTCCTTCCCTGCCGGGGTATCCAGCCCCCGGCACCGCTGGAGCGCGAGCGGCGGGCGCGGAGCCTGCGGGTCCCTGTGGCGGGACCGCGGGATTGCACGGAGGTGCTACAAGTTGGCGGTCTTAGGGATGGATGAAACAGCTCTAAAAGGCTCTTTAGCCCAAGCGTGGGCTGGTGCAGCTGAGTTGATCATCGCGCTGCCCTCCCAACACGGCGTTTTCTGAGCGCAGTGGAAAGGCTGGCTAGGATTTACAGCCCCCTCCTCCCCCCGCTCCCCCCAGCTCGTTCACCTTAATCTCCTTGGAGCACGAATATAGGCATGTAGTAGAAATATAGTAGACATTTTGCTGATTAGGCTTGTTTGTTTGTTTTTAGAACACGCTCTTCTCGAAGAGACTTTATTTCAAAGGGACCTCTTCTCTACAGCCTGTTGTTTTTTGGAGGAAAAAGGGGGCGTCTGTCTCCTGTGACGCTGGACAAAATTCTGGCAGTTCTTTATTTCAATTACACGCTTCCGTATTTTATGTTTGTATCATAACATGGATATATCATGGCAACATCATATATAACATGGACATATCATGGTACATGATTTGTATCATATATTTTTGTCGCAAGATAAATACATAAGTGAAGTACTATTTTTTTTTTGCTGTGGAGTGGTTATGGTTCGTTTTTTCTCATTTCTATTTCGGTAAAATGACGCCAGTGCCTGGTTCTGGGCACTGACATACACAAGTGGCACATTTTTGCTACCTGGGCTTCCCTGGGAGTTACCAGGCCTTGCAGGATTTAATTTGCGTGTGCCATCATCCAGAATCTGCATGCTTGTGGCAAGGCAGAGGTGAGAACTAGTTCAACATCAGAGAAATATTTGGATCCCTTCCCAGCTACGTAAACCTCTTTTTGTTGCTCTGTTTTTGTTAACTTCTGGAAATAAACCCACCTGTGATTGTTAAAACCAGCGTGAATTCTCAGGAGGAGGCAGTGGAAAGAATGCTGACACGGGCCAGCTCTGGACATTTTGGCCACAATACTGGTTTTGTTCTTTTGTTCAGACGATGTGTTATAAATGCCGGTGTTTTCACCGTTTTTAACTCACAGAGGTGAAAGCAGGAAGGAGAAGTGATAACATGAATTTACTGTTTTTCATCAATTTTAATGTGACTTTTAGGTGTCATCTGTTTTTCAGTTCTTATTTTTTTGAGGTCTTCCAGCTGGGGCTAACAAGAAACAAAGCCCTTTCTTTCCTTCTGAAGTCTGTTTGAGTGAAAATAAGCTTAGAGCTGCACCATCTTTTTCTTCTCGAGTAGCTTTCTGGGATGCAGAAGATACTCTGTGAAGTATCTTTGACATCAGTGTGATGATGTATATGCTTGTTAGTTTGGATGAAGGTTTTCTGTAATTAAGAGAAATCTGGTGGTATGTCAGTCCATCAGGACAGATTACTGTAAAATTGTTGTAAGTGCATACTGTAACTATTTATCATTTTTTCTTCTAGATCCTCACTTATTTTACTTAAGTGATGGAACCATACACTAAAGAAAAAAAATCACCCTTGGGTCTTTGGCATTCATGTTTGTGTGAAAGAATCTAGGATGTTCCAAGAAAAAGCATCAGCCAGTTGCTTAAATATAGTAACAACATCTACTGAAGATGGTGCTTTTCAAAAGAAAGGCCATAGTGCAAGAGTCCTTAGCCCAGAGGAAGCTGAGAGACTGGCAAAAGATAAGGTTTTGGTGTCTGAGTTCAAACAACTAAAACTGGAGAAAGAGGCACAGAAGAACTGGGATCTGTTTTACAAAAGAAATAGTACCAACTTCTTCAAAGACAGACATTGGACAACCAGAGAGTTTCAAGAGTTAAAAGCATGTCGTGAGGTGAGACTTATACACTTCTGCTGTAAAAGATGGGATTGAATATTTCCAGTCAGTTCTTTCCAAGTGAGTTAATAATACTTATAACAAAGCTGTTTGGGTAAGAGCTGCCAAGTTTGCAATGCTCTGTGTAGTTTCTCTTAGTATCAAAGACAACTCCTGAAAATCACATGCATCAGTTCAGTTTCAATTTATAATTGATCCATACTGGATGGGAATACCGTTCATAGCATATGGGATGCTAAGAATGAAGTCTGAAATATTTGTATTGTGTCCCAAATAGACAGCTTGTCTCTCTGTGGTGGGATGTTCTCAGATGCAAGTTGGTGTGCTTTCAGTACACTCCTTTAAAGAAAAGCATCCAGATTTGCAGGCTGATTGCAGAACACAGTTAAGGGGAATAGGCAGCTGCATCTGTTGTTCTCTAGAGCTGAATGAAAGATAAGAAAGGAATGGTACAACAGTCTGTTGCTTACTTAAGGGCTAGATGACTAAAGAAATATTAATATATTCTAAGAAGATTTCTAATTTTGCAGAAATCAAGTTGCCTGGGCTTTAGTGTCAGATTATCCAGGGGCTGTCTACTTTGGGGTTTTTTTTTGAGTCAGTGGTAATTACAATTGATTTTAGCTTTTAAAGTGCTCATTGAAGAGTGTAATGCTCATGTAATGGGGAAAACAAAAATGATGTGCTTTATCTTGTATTGGTTCTTCCCCAGTTTGCAGATCAGAAGCTGACCATTCTGGAAGCAGGCTGTGGGGTTGGGAACTGCTTGTTTCCACTCTTAGAAGAAGATCTGAATATTTTTGCATATGCCTGTGATTTCTCTCCTAGAGCTGTTGAGTACGTGAAGGTTGGTGTGATGTTTGGAACTTCTTTTAGAGTGTTTTTAGAAGCATCTGAAATTGCAAATGAATGTAACAGGCGTCTCTTGCCTTCCTTTTTTTAAGAAGGGTAGAATATATTTTGCCAAAAAATGGAGACTGATCCATTTCAGTTGAGATCCTATGCAAGAAGTCAAATCATTGCTCCAGACCTCGCTTTTCAGCATCACATTGTAGTATTATGGTACATTACTTGAATAATTTATGAAGACTGTGTTTTTTTGGGAATACTACTATGTCTCTGCTGACTGTGCAGTACAAGCAAAATTTATTTGCAATGGAAGCTTGCCCTTGATGGAGGGAGTCCTAAGGAGAACCTTAAAAACAGGGCTATGAAAGTTATTGCTAAAGAAATTTGTAGCCTGGTTAGAAGTAGGTGTGTTTATACTTTTATAAGTTGAGTCTTCCAGCAGGGCTGGCGGGAACTTTGGCCTTTAAAAGTCTCCTGGTTTATTAAGTTTGTAGTCACAGCTCTTGCTGAACTTATTTCTTGCCAAGACCAAGTTCCTTTTACCCAGCGGAACTGTGGGCTAGAACAGCCCAGCTGCAGGTTATGTGACAGGAACCCAAACTGTTTGCAGTCAGCTCAAGAGCTGTGCTTCGATCACCCTGTAATACAGAATTCCTTCTAATGGTATTTATGTATTTTATAAAGAGTAGAAGCAGGTAAAACAGAAATGGTTGAATTTTCTGAACTGTCTTAATGCACATTCCTTCTCAAACTCATGAGAACGGACTATTCTACTAGTTGTAATTTCAGTATTGTAGTACACAGCAAAAAATTTCTGATTGCATTAGTAGCCTATTGGAAGTTACTGTTCTTTTGCCACCATGTTTCATTTTGCTGTATGGATTAGTTTCACAAGTTTTTTACTGTTTTTCAATAACAAATGCTACTAATTTTCAATTAAATCTTACTCTTTTTATTTTCCTAGAAAAATGCCCTATACAGTACTGAAAGATGTAAAGTGTTCCAGTGCGATCTTACCAAAGATGATCTTCTAGACAATATACCAGCAGATTCTGTGGATGTTGTCACACTTATATTTGTCCTTTCTGCCATTCATCCTGACAAAATGAATCTTGTCTTGAAGAACATTTACAAGGTAGCACCAGCAGATTTTACAGCCTTTAAAGCACTTTCCTTCTTTTTAGCTCATTTCTTTTTTTTCTGAGCACATAACCCCTCTTGTAATAGTGATCTTTAATATTATATACAGTGGATGTATTCAGTTAGTTCACTTAGCATACAGGACTAAAATATGGTTTATAATGTTTGTTTGTTTTTTTTTTTTATCCTGGTATTGTGAGATTTTTTTGGATTGAGGCCTAATTCATGCTATCAACATAACCAAAAGGTATATAGAAGGCAACCTTCCAGTATCTGAAGGGAGCCTACAGGAAAGATGGAGAGAGACTTTTTGCAAGAGCATGTAGTGACAGGACAAGAGGGAATGGCTTCAAACCGAAAAAGATTAAATATTAGGAAGAATTTATTTACTGGGGGGTTGGTGAGGCACTGGGACAGGTTCCCAGAAAAGTAGTGAATGCCCCATCCTTGGAAGTGTTCGAGACCAGGCTGAATGGGACTCTGAGTAGCCTGGTGTACTGAAAGGAGTCCTTGCCTGTGGCAATGGGGTTGGAACTAGGTGATCTTTCAGGTCCCTTCCAACCCAGGCCATTCTATGATTTGATGATTTTAAAGCTCTGACTTGGGTTGCATGCTACAAGTAATGTTTATAGGTTGCAGAGATGTCTGTGTTGATAAGGTGTGAATGATAGTGAGCCAGAATTGACTTCCAGGGATAAAGTGACTTGGAGTTAGGATGTTGCTGTTATTATTAAACACACTTGATCTGTGGTGACTTAAAATTGGAGTGTTCAGAGGTCAAAATTAATCCAGAGAGACCCATCTCCTTAGGCTGCCTTTGTTAGTTGATAGACTAGGATAGTCCCATCCAAAGAGTGGTTTAAATGTGAATTGTGATAGTTCTGATTTTCCCGAGATTGTCATATATTGACTGCAGAGGGAAACAGTCAATATGTTTTGTACTTATGCATATGTGTGTTCATATATGCAAAAGTTTTATATTCTCTCATATTGTTTGTTTTATTTTCAGTAGTCTGAAATGGGAATGTTAGGTTTTTTTGGTACATCTCCAGCTGCTTTGCAAAATCAGGATTGGTTCTTAGCTCGTGCTTATGAAAAGGCTAATTTTTATTTTCTCAGTGGAGATGCACAGATTGGCAAGTGGCAAGTACTGCTTTGCTCCTCTAACAAATACAGCTGGTATTTGATGACATAGGAAAGTTGCATGCATCAGATATCTAAAATCAGCATGGCCAATGACCACGTATTTCTAAATTTTAAACTCTTTATGGCCTGTTTCCTTTGATAAAGAGCAAATAAACCCGAAACAACCAAAATCCACAACCCGTTTTACTGAAATTGTTCCTTATTTATCTCTTAATATATTGCAACGTTTTTCTTAAAGCATGTGTGTATTATGTGACAGGTATTAAAACCAGGCAAGTGTGTCTTGTTCCGGGACTATGGACTGTATGACCACGCAATGCTCAGGTTTAAATCCGGCAGCAAACTTGGAGAAAACTTCTATGTTAGACAAGATGGGACAAGATCGTATTTTTTTACTGAAGGTAAGACATGCTGTGGAGTGCTTTCTTTTCTGTGAATCTCCTGTTTAAACTTGCTTCAGGGAACTGCCAGCATGCCCATGGACGTTCTGTTTTGTGCAGATGAGCTGTTAAATTGTGGTGTATTTGGTTTACCATCCTTTTTGGAAACAAGAGGGTATTTAGACTGGCAGGACTTTATGGAGCACTTTCTTGTTTACGAGCTTGTTGTATGTGCCAAGAGCAGCAGTTTCTGAATTTGCTGAATTTCATTCGGATTTGTTAGCTGAGGGAAAAAGACCAATGTTCAGTCAGACAATTGATAATCTTCATGAAGCAACTAAGCAGTTTTCTTGACATCGTTTTTTGTGCAAGGCTATTCCTGGTGTGCAAAAGGAGTTCTACTGAAGAAGCCATTGATTTCTAGAGCCGAACCATGACTACAGTGCCGAGAAGCTTGTGCACAGATCCTGCTGAGTTGGCACTGACTTGCTTCGGTCACTCTGTCTTCTGGTTTTTGTGGTTTTTTTTCCAGTAAAGATGGTGCAAAAAACATTTTCATGTGATACAGTATATAAAGTTTTTAATACAGTGCTCATAATGGTTTAGGAAGGAAGGTAATTATTGCAGCATAGTAGTGGAGAATGTGAAGCAGGGAGAGATGAAGGAATTTGCTCAGACTTTCAAAATGAGTTGGGATTATAGTTTGGCCGTAGCTTCTAACTCCCTCTGTTCCTCAAGCTAAACTCGTTACTCCCCCTATCAGTTGTAGAGCATTGTGTAATAATAAAAGCTGTGAGTTTATTTCTTTGGGGCTCTTTGTTTTTAGTCTAAAGTGAAATATAGACACTGAAGAGACCATCTTGGAGCCAAACAAATGTTATTCATATTTCATGCCATAACATATTACCTAATTGCTAATTCTGATATATAAACCCCATTAATCTTGTCTCTCTATCCTCTCTCTATCCTTCACAGGACAATGATGAAATCTGAGATAATGCAGGCTGTGGTACAGCTTCATTGAAGCATTTCTAGAATTGTTTTCTAGAATCTAGAAGTGATTTTTGGTACTGTTTGAACAAATAGGCCTTGCAAAGAGAATGGATGGTAAAGGGAACAAATAGGAGACTGACCGACCTAGCTGTGGAATTTTAAATCCCATTTTTATTGTGTGTTAGAATTGTTTCTGAATGAGAAATTCCTCTCTAGTATGCGTGTTTCCATTGCTGGGAGAATTGAGGTAGGAAGGAGGAAGAGGAAGGAAGGAGAAAAAAAGAATTTGTTCTCTATTGCTCATGTTAGCAATTGTTTTTCCTTGGGCTGGTCTGAGACTGTCTCACAGATCATCTCTGCTCCCATTTTTAATCCTTATGATCTCATTCATCTCACAAATTTTCATATCAATATTGCTTAATGCTTGAGAATTCTTTTGTTACTGGGGACATGACTCCCATCAATTCTGCACAGGTTGCAACCCCATGCTATTTTTCATTTGTTTGGCACTACACTGGTACCTCAAGTAATTGCTGCATGGGATGATTTGAATGATGCTTATTATAGTATGTCTGGCCTCAGATAACAACACTGAACTTCTTCCATGGGAAAAAAAAAATCCATTATTTTCTTACTGTTTGAAATAATATTAAATTTTTGGAGGAATGCGTGGTTGCAATTATGTGTTGTGAAGTATGTGCAACTTCCTTACAGTGAGATTTCAACAGGTCCACAATTAAGTGCTGTTTATTTATATTTCATCAATATGGGTCCCCCATTTTACAAAAACACACTTTGTTCACAGCCAGTGCGTGTGGCTTCATGGTGGGCTTAGGTTGATATAAGCCTGCAGTACCACCAGAGTGGGTGGTCTCATCTTCCTCAGTGCACCATCTCTTCTAGTGCTTCCTGTACCCTCAAGATCAGTGAGTGTTTCATCGAGCTCATCCCCCTGAGCAGTGGAAAATGGCATGCTCTTTGTTTTCTGTCAAGGAACACAAGTTTAGAAATGGCTTAAATTTACTGTGAAATTACTGCCTGAGTAAGTGAAATAAGGTGCAGGAAAGGAAAAATTATGATTTTTAATTAACATGACAAGTCAATAGCATAATCAGCCCTCCCTGCTGCGTAGTTCACCCTGTTTGTGAGGTACTTCTGCCTTCCTTAAGGGAGACATGCTTTGACTAAAATTCTTTTGTTTGTGGAAAATACTTTCAGTTGGACTTAGTGGAGGCTTGATATCACCACATTCCCCTTGCCACTTTGACAGTTTTTCTGTTGAGCAATGGCATGTAACGTGGTGTGATGTTCTTCCCTGAGCAGAGATGCATCTGCAAGACTGGATTACCTTTGAAATATTTGCCATTAGTGATGTATTCAGCCAGCGAAGGTCAGCTGCACAAAGTAAAAAGGCACTGGCATCAGTCACAATGAGAATGACAAGGCTCAGTAAAAATAAGAGATGTGGCAATTTTTGGAAAATCAACTGAGTAACTAGCTTAAGCCCCAGTTTTACAAGCTGTTTTGCTTAGGTTGATGTTTCTAAAGGAGATCTGTATTGATTTTTATTCAGCAGTCTGCCTGCATAGAACAGCTTGAAATCTGAAGGCCTGTGTGATTTTCATGCTGTAACAGAGAAGAACATATGCTTATATAAATGCTGTCTGGTGTTTTAAAAATAGCTTAAACATAATATTTCATCTTTTTTTTTTCTCCCCCAATTCTCTTCCAGAGTTCTTATCTCAGCTTTTCAAGGCTGAGGGATATGAGCAAGTGGTCAATGAATATGTGCAGCGAGAAACTGTGAATAGGAAAGAAGACTTACGTGTTCCAAGAGTTTTTCTTCAAGGCAAATTTCAAAAGCCTTTCAGTAAGATGTTAAGTTCTTGCTGATTAGCAACAGCATTGCTTGTTTGAAATGGCAGCTAGCACATAGCCTCGTGTGTGCTCATCTTTCTGGTAAACCAGAAATGACTGCATCCAGTGCCTCCTGTTGGTTTCCGTCCTCGGATACAAAATAAGAATGTTACTTCTAATTCACGTCTAAGATGGTTTACTGATGCAGACAACCTGTTGAGTGTCTGTATTCCTACTTAAAAAGTAAAACCTGCGCAACACTTAGAGGATCAGGTAAAGCACACTAAATAAGGTTAATTTTATGCATTAGCTTCCATTAGTTATCATCATAATTGTTATTTTAATTTTTATTAAAAACTATTTTTTAAATAAACATCCTGTGTTTCTTATCACTTGTGTTTTTCGGGGCTTATTAAAGTTACAATATTTTGCCTCCTTTCATACTTGTAGGACTTACAGGAATGAAACAGGGTCAGTGAGCAGTATAATGCAACATGCTTTGGTATTTAATAATGGTATCTTTTTAATATGCTTAGCATTTAGATATTTAGAATGTAAACATTTTTTTACATAAGATCCTAATTTTTCTGATTTCATGCTTGAAGAAGCGTGTTAGTGGATTGGGCTGTCTGTATCCCTTCCTAAATTCGGACGTTCTTCATTTGATTAGCAGAACTAGTTGAGGTTTTGCAAGTCAGTTCCCCATTTGGAACTGAAATCAGCAAATTGGGAGTACCTTCTTTCATATGAATTGTTGTCAGCTGCTTCTTTCCTGAGCAGAGGTCTTAATTCTTTTCCATCACTCTTAGGAAAGTTGTGATGGTCTTTGCTCTTCTTACTACTACAAGCCACTGTATTGTTGCTGTGGCTCATAGCCTGCCACAGACTTAACTGCTCGAAGGAACTTCATCCTTTCCTTTCAGCAGCTGTGGCACTTTGCACTGCAGGACCTTTTCTGTGTTCTTGGATGATGAAATTTCAAAAACATGCTTGGATCTTTAACCTGCATTTAACTCTGCAGCAGAGGAAGCTCAGAAGTATCCGGTGACTTGTGCAATGGCCTGTGCTGATCTTGTACAATGTAGACAAGTTGCAACAAGGGAAAACTCCAATGCAATACTAAGATTTTTTTTTTTTTTGTGGGGGGAAGTGTGTGTGTAAGGGGAGGTCAAATACTGAGACAGGGTCCAAAGAGGTTGTGATCGTTCTTGGAAATACTTGGAAGTAGACTGGGCAAGGCCTTGAGCATTCTGTGACTTTGAGGGTGGCCCTATTCTGAGTAGGGATTTCATTTCTTGCAGTATGTATGAGTATAGGATTGATTGACTCAGGCTGCCATTCCACTGGACTTCTGTGTCGCTAGATGACCCAGTCATACACATCTGATGTGGGCCAGAGGTTACTGTTTGCCTCGGTTTGTGACAAAGTAGCCATAAGATATGTTAATGAATTTTTTTTTTCCCAGCACTCTACACTGGCTGTATGTGCATGGAAGGAAAGAAGTAGTAATTTTCCAACCTGAAGCTTAATGTTACAAAGTTATCCAGTCAAAATTTTTATAACAAATTGGAGCTGCCAGAGGTCTTATTGAGTTGGTATGCTTACAAATAAATTTGCAAGAGATCATTGCTTTGTATCAGGGCACCACAGTTTTTTGGTTTTTTTTTTTTTTGTCTGATACCATGAGCCCCAAAGCTGAATTTATTGTGTCACAAATCTTTGGCCTTACAAGAAAAATGCTTAAATCACACAATTCTCCTAATGACTCTTTGAGTAGAGTCATTACATGTCATCTTTTTTTTTATGGAGTGTATTATCCTGGAGATTTATGCATTGCTGACCCCTGCTGCATAACCCATTAGCCCTTTCTGCCATGCTGGTAATAAATATCAGATTAGTAACGTTTACAGTAAATGAAAAACTATGTTAAAAAGGGGTATAACAATGATAGCATTATTCTGATCTGAACCATCATCATTTTGTGGCTTGCCTTAGCAAATACTCATCTTTAGTACAGCAGTTCTCTCAAAGACTACATGTAGTCTGAGATCTCTTGATATTTGGGTTGGTTTGAACCCTGTAACACCAAGGACTGGAGGTTTGGTCCTTTTTGGAGTGTACAGCACATAAATGAGACTGAAGGAATGCCTTGTGTGGTGCTTGTCAGCATATGCAAAGGCAGGTGCACTGAACCGTTCATCCCGAAAAGGAAATGAGATATAGGCAAGTATCAGAAATATTGGTCAGGAGACCTGAGTCAACCCAGTAGGCTTAGCTGCAGATGTCCAATGACCATTTTTTACACTGAGCTATTGCCAGAACAATAGTACACCTTCTTGTGTGTCTGTAGCTTTGGTGTTTCTGTGTATTTCTGCTTGAGGAACTACTGTCACTTTTTGTGTAGCAATATGTTAAATGGAGAGCAGTATTTCTAATTTTTTATTATTCCTCATTCGGTCTCATTTCCAGTCAGACCTGTTAAATGAAGTGCATGCATTAGTGCCCCTGCCAGAAAGGCCTTCAGCTGTAGTTCTCATAAAGCAGATGTTATTTTGAGATGACTGGTGAGAAAGCTTAACTTGGACTCTGTGACTCTGCTTCTGTGAACTCTAAATCATGGCAAGTTTTTTGTAACTGTGATAAAGTTTGGGGAAGTTGAGTCAGCTTTAAGCAATCCTTGCCTCATCATGTGAGACACAGTAACTGATAGGGCACATTTGGCTGTTGTAGTGCTGAGTAAAGTAGATATACTCCCCCCAACTCTTCAGCCTTTCCAAGCTCAGTTCCTTTGTGCCATCACTCTGGTCTGAGCAATATTTAAAATAGATGCAAATAATTATTGAAGTAGTGGGACTAAGAAAACCCAATTTTAAAAAAAAATTCTTATGGCTTGGTGCATTGTGATTAAATACCCTGATGTTTAATAAAGTAGGTACTTGGGTTAATGCTTTTCCTGAAGTTAGGGAATCCTAAATGCCACTTTTCAGTGTGGGATTCTCTGACATCTCCTACTGGAACTGGGCAGTGTGTGTTAAGGGATGATGCTGATGGGCAGTGCCTCAGTGAGGATATGAGTAAGGTCTGTCTGTTGGCTATTTTCATCAGATTTACAGAAGTGTGAAATTTTGAATCATCTGACATTTACTGTTCTGTCAAATTTGTTTGATATCGTCCAGTGTCTTTGACAACAGGCTATGACTAGACAGAAATCCACACAGGTATTGTGCCTAAACTGTATGCATGGATAATCTTTCTTTCCTTAAAAATGTGTACCACTGAGAATAAACCATTTAAACTTTGAGGTAATGGTATCAGAGCAGATTTTATGTGGTTCATTTGATAGCTAAAAGGCTATTTCTGTGCATTTTTCAGATACCTGAAGGTTCCTTGGATTGCAAAAGCAGAATATTTAAGCAGTTAGTACAACACTATGGTCATGGTTGATTGTGCATCATTTCTATGAAACCAAGTGCTGTAAAAGTGGGACCTGAAACTCCAGCACCTATAAACATCAGCAGCCAACTGTAAAACATACAGCCTTGGTCTTGTAAGAGAATGCTGGTATATGAAATCTGAAGGGTCATTTATATTGTCATTTTTTTTTGCTGGATCTGTTGCACAGTTTATACATCTGAATATATTGAGAGATACAAACTACCAATTAGGAAGTGGTTTATGGAAGAGTCATTTGAAAGATATATGTATTTGGAGAAGATACTGGTGTTGAGCATCAGTATGTGAAGGAAAAAAGTTAGGATTATGTTTAAGTTACTGGGGAAAAAGGCATTTCCTGAGTTTCACAGGCCAGTGATGACGCGCAGTTAAATGCATTGTTCACCTGAAAAGTGAAACTTTAAAAATTAAAGCCTGCAGCTTCCAAAATTAGACTAATGTTACAGGGAGGCAGAAAGGTGTCATCAAATTGTGTGTGGTATCAGTAATATGTTCAAGACTCTGTAGGAAGCAGAATTTTATATTGGAAAGAAATTGTTGAGATACAATTAGTGATAATAGGTAAGTATTTGTTTATGGATTTTTACCTCCCATAATATAGCTATGAGGAATTTATCACTGGTTATGCTTGTTATTAGGAACGATTGTGAGCCGTTTCAAACGTTTGGGAGCAAACATTTATTAGTTATACATTCTGCAAAAACATCTGGCCCTTGGGTGCAGTAGGTTCAGGATATGAGTATGTTTGCTCTCTGTGTTTGTTCATTCTGTGAGTTCATTTATTAGAACAAAGGCAGATGGTGAGCCTACACTGTGGGGAGGCACACAGAGGTGCTGCTTGCAAAAATAAAAGCTATTAGTCAGGTAAGATGTTCCATTAGAGAACCTTTTCCATTTCCACCTCCAAGGCTCATAGGCACCATTCATTGTGTTTGCAGCAGGGAGAAAACACTGGTGCTGTGAAATCAGGGAAGACAAGGGCTCAAGAAAAAGAACGTGATTCTTCCAAACAAACAGTGATTTTGTGTACCTCTGCTTAAATGATTCTGTTTGGGAACATTCACTCCCTTTTCCAGCAAGTTGGAAAATCTGATTGCTTTTGAAGGTCTTTGCCAAAGACACAGGTTTAACTTACATGCATGTAGAATATATGAAGTGAAATACTAAAAAAAGGCAACCGTATGACTGAAAATATAAATCCAGGTTTGTTTTTCTCCCTTGGCTTGTGAGAGGCTTTATGCTTTGCTGTCACTTCAGTGCTTTTTCAGAGTTTCTGGTCTGGGATGCTGTGCTGTCTTGCTCTTATTTAAGCTATGTACACCATATTGACTCCAGCTCAGGTTTCTGATGCCTGTAGCATCCCAAGAAATTAGAGTGGAAGTAACTGAGGTTAGTCACAGGGAAAAATCAGAAAGCAGGCAAGTCACAAGAAGACAAGTCTACCTACTGCCTATGCTCTACTCGGTATTTTTCTACACTCCATTTCTCTTGGATTTTTATAGTAATTTTGAACAGCAGAGAAGCTGCTGTTCAATGGGATAATGATATCTTCATACATATGGGATTGTTGTGCATCTGAAATGCAAGGAATTTTGTGCACTTTTTTTTCTTTTTTTTTTTCTAATTTTGGCTTTAAGCTTGTGCATGAAATCTGACATTTAATTGGAATTTTTATCATCTAATAGATGATAAAAATCATTTTCCTTTAAATGTAACAAACCTGTTGCTGTTTTGCTAAAACCAGAATATTCAAAAGCAGGCTGGAAGATGACAGGAGGGAAGGAAAAGAGACTTTTCCGCACAAATACCGTAAGTATTCTGATCTATTTGTTTTATTAACAAAACAAATTTCAAAGGAACATGAAAATACTTTGAAAAAGCCACTAAACCATTGCCACTAATTTTTTCTGAACTACCTTCAGAAAGATAGTTCTACAAT